GCTGTCGGCTGCACGGGCTCCTCGACCTCGAATTCGAGGACGACTGCCATGGAAGCTTCATCCCAGTATCTCACCCACGTTTCTTCGACACCCCCAAGACTAGGCGACGACATGATGCATGAATCATCACGAAGAGCAAAGTCCTGAATAGGCTGGAACGAATACGGATGCGCAAAAGAAGCAGCTACCGGGCGATCGGATATTCGGAATCCAGAGGGATGCAGCTGGGAAGACATTGTTGCTCCAAGAACAGTGGAAGCAGACTGATAGTTGGGATCAACGCTGTCCCTCCAGGGTACAATTATAACCACGTACCTGGACATCCACAAATTCCACGAAAGCAAATCCCCAGCTCGCCATTGTCACTTTATCCTTGATAAGAATAATTCGACGCATCCCACGGGCACCTTCTCTTCCAGGGCCGGAGGACGTCTTCATCGCTTGAGCGATGGCCTGAGGGCCAGATAATGGGTCAAGCCCTCGGAAGAGGAGCACGGGCGCCTGCGTGTTGCCAATATCTCGAGTGCCGTCGTTCGTGTATTGAGGACCCCTTGCACGCCTCTCGCCTGGACTTGCGCTTTGCGAGTAATCTATCTTGACACGTCGACCGCCTGGTGGCGCCGCACTCCCGGCCTCAAGGGCTCGGTAGAAGGCAGTAGATGCGGTCGCCCCATGCGAGGCGGGAGGCGGCACTTGAATAAAGGGGAAGAGCGGATCGACGAAGGTACGGGCGTGTTCTACGCTTGTGAATTGGGCAAATCCGAAGCCCTTGGAGACACCTTTATGACACAAAAAACCGGGGCAGGAACAAAGAGAAGAACGTCAATGCTGCGGAGCAACCAGGGAAGACGAAGGGGCAAGTGCCTGTTGATCTGTCTCGGATTATAGTGACCGTTTCAACGCTACACTTGTTGCTTGAGAGATACGCTTGAAGCTGGGTAGATTCATGAGCCGTATGTGCATGAACGTAGATGATTTCTGGACATGACCACGAACATCTGCCTCCGTGAAGTCTGGATCAAGCCCCAGAAAAATGACATGAGGGCTTGGTTCGCTGGGGACGAGGCGCTTCTTGTTATAACCACCGCCTTTCTGATGGCCGTCTGCAGAATAGTCTTGTGAGTAATCGGTCTGGCGCGCAGTTCCATAGCTGCCGTCGTAAACATTTGTCTGGTCTTCGTAGGCCGAAGCACCAGCAAAGGCCTGGAAAGCACGTCATAGTTGAGCTGTTATGGTAACAACTCGTGAAAGATGCACGCTCACGCCGTTGTTGTATTTCCTACGTTTGCCGTCGCCGTAATAATCGTCTTCTCGCGGATGAATATTACCTCTAGGTGCTTGATACTGCCATGAGGCTTCGTCCTTGCCTCTGTCCCATTCCCTGTTAAAGGCCATTCTGAGAACCAGACGGGAGATGTATGAGACTTGAGCGAATAGGGGATTCAAGCACTGTCAGAGGTCGTGGTTGTGACAGAGCAGTGACCTAGACGCCTGCTGCTCTGTCCCGCGTCAGGCGCTTATTCAGAGGCCTCTGAACTTTACCCCCGCACTACCAACATGGCTGGCCACGGTAAGTGAATTCCAAACTCTTTTCCGGAAAGCATCGCTGACGTATGTTTGAAATCTCCAGGTTATACCAAGGTATGCAGCATTCCCTGATGGCTACATTCCCCTTGCAAGACTGACTTCTCATTCAGCTTGATCCCGCCATTGAGCGATGGAATAACATGGTATATGATGTCTATCGGAAGCTTGTATTGTGTACTGAGGTCGCATTTCTTAGCGCGAAAGCGTGTACAAGCACTTCCGCTTTACACCGCGGACGGCCTGGCAGTCCATATTTGGGCTGGCCATCTTCCCTGGGGCAATATATTATCTCGCATCGAACCAGGACGTATGTCACTCTTTCGGTATTCACCACGTAGGCCTCCAGCTTATAAATCATGTATAGATGAAATGGAGCTGGTCAGGGAAACTCAAGAACCAGTCGCTAGCCCGTGTACCTCCTTCCGATTGAACTACATCTCCTTACTTCACTGCTTCTATCAATGCCAAATTACCATTACCTATCCAAGTATAGTACCCCAGTGGCAGACAAAGATCAAGGAGTCCTAGATTCGCTTGCAAAGTTCTATCGCGACCTTGCAGCCTGCGCCCACAACAGTACTCAGCAGTGCATGAGCTGGCGCCCGCTGAGAGTGGTTTTCAACCGCGACGTCTAGATGTTCAAGCTCATCATCCCTAAATTCTTCTATCACGCCTTTAAGAAGAGGTACACTTGGATGACTTTCTGGCAAATTCTCGAACTCCTTCAATTGACTGTCGAGATACTAGTCACCTAACCGTGGGCAGGCAAAATGTAAGCACGCACTCGTCGTAATGCTCGCCAATGACTGTCTCAACAGCTTCGGTGCAAGCCATGGCCGCTTCCTTCCCCATGAGCGCAGTGATGGTCCCTAGCCCATAACCGCCAATGCGAGCAATGTGTGAAAGGAGTGTAGGCCGAACGCGGTGTTGCAGCTGCAACTTGTTCATCACTTCAAGATGTTTCTTTTCCTGGCTCCACATATCCTGCGTTTGCCGCGACAACCTGGAATTAGTGTTGCGTGATCTCGCAACCGAGACTGTGCTTGCCTGAATCAAGGGCCCAACAGTGGGATCACGGCCCAGCACGGCAGCCTGACCCATGTATATGTAGTTTGCGGCCAACTCGCCAGCCTGGTCCACGCGGAGGGCACGGTCGAGTGCATGCCGTTGTTCCTGAGAGATACCGCAAGGTGTCGTGGTGACCGCTGGGTTGTCCACCTTGTCGGCAAAGTACGCCGCAGACGGAGGTGTTCGGTTGGCTCGGGATGTAAAGGCACGCCGGATGAAAGGCGAACGTGTGCGGCACCAGCGTAGAATGAGCCCTCGCTGTGGGGATGAACCGAGAGCCATTTAGGGTGATAAATACAACGAGCAAATGTAGAGCAACGGTCCTAAATGGACCCTGAGCGGACGCCGCTGTGTCATTGTCAGTGGCTGAGCGCTGAATCCGTTCCGAGATCATGCGCGCACGTGACCCCATATACCTAGCGACCAGATTCGACGAGTGGCGGCACCGAAACTTCTAGCCAGACTGGTTCGTTGCCAACTGCTTACTTCCTCCCATCGTATTCCCAGCCCTTGTTGAGACATGGCATCTTCTACGTAGGTTTAATCTCCTCGAGATATAAGGTCTTATTTTGAAGCATATGACCAGATTCACTACGTCGAATGCCATCGACATGTCTAAGGAGCGCGAGTGGGCAGCCAACTTAGGTTGGTCGTCCCTCCACGTCGACTGTGCATCCCTATAACACATCTATCTCAGGCATGCTTGATTGGGACAATACGCGAATCGTCTTTACTAAGCGCTCGCTGCTTGAGTTCCTCAAGTAAGACGCCTTTGTCTTCCTTTATCTTAGACGTAGACTTCAAGCACGCGCTAAGAACTTAAATGTCTAGGTCTGTTGGTGTTACCGTCGACCCCAACTTCACTAATGTACAGAAACTGCCTCGTACGTTCTGTGATTTGCGGCAACAGGCTTGTCTGGCTGAACCTCATTCCAGGGTACGCGCACTTCGGCACTTTGTCTGAAGAGTTCGTAGAGGCGGAATCCGCTGAGGCTGAAGCTGCTTCGTCAGGTACATCGGAGCGCTTCCACTTTTATAGAGCTGACCTTTCTTGACTAGTAGGTCTTCCTCAGACCTCGTACCGACCATCCCGCCGTGTGCGTACTGCACCCGGTGGCTCTCATTCAAATATTTTCGGTATCGCTGAAGATGACGCTCTGGCCAACGCCCCTACAACTCAGAAAACAGAGGTTTGTTCCGGATGAGTAGACAACTTCGTGACAAGTAAACATGTTGCACGTTCAGGTGGTAACCGAGAAGAGGGCGGATATCAAGCTTACGCCTGAAGAGGATAACAATGTCGAGCCAGATGTAACTGTGCAAGATAGCCGCCCAAAGTGAGTGGTGGACACTTGCGTCGAGGACGTGCACCTGACAAGAGGTTAGGAGCAAACGTACCACATCAAGCGGCGTTGCCGGCCTGTGGGATGCGCCTAACCCTGACGAATTCAAACCGACACGTCGGTTAGTGAGACTCCGTACTGTAATACATGTGTTTAATATTGATCACTCGCTCACTAGTGTCCGAGAAAGGCCGGGAGGAAAGGATAGCATTGCAGACGTGCGTTCATTTTGAATACATGTTTCTTTAAACTGACTGTGTCCTGTTTAGCTCTTCTGATATACGGGTTGAAGTTTGGGGCTTTTAATGAGACTTGCAATGAATGTTATTTTCGTGTGAGATGTGAAATCATGTATAGTATGTGGGTGGTAAAACTGGATGTGAATAGTGACTGCTGTGGATTGAGGTGAATTGCTTTGACTAGTTGACCAAAATAGACAGATATATGACTCGGATGACTGCTGTATTCAAACGATTGACACCCATATGCTTGTTCGTTTTTTACGATGTTTCTGCGATGAGGGCAGTTCTCCTCCAATTTCTGGAGCTCCTTATTGGTGGCTCAAAAGATGAAGTAAATGAAATATCGATCGGAGGTTTGCTAAGTCATGAAATGATTTGCATCCGAACATGATTGGTGACATGTCTAGGTGTCCTGAGGTGCGCCCGCGGTTGTGTTGCGAACCGTTTTGTTCGAGGCGTAGAGGTTCCTTCATGATTGGCGGAGGCATATCATCATTTGGCATAACCGTTTATGACACGATTTGCTTCAGGCTTAAGCTTGCTAAACGTTAATCGTGAATTGTAAGTGTTCTGACTCAGTGTCCGCACGTTTGTGTCGGAAACGACTATTGGCGAAGTTCGACAAAGGCAAGCAACTAATGAGATATCGATCACTCATACCGGCGGCAGAAAATCATCAAAGTGACTGACCCGGGATCCGTGAGCAGTCATCTCAACTTTACTATATGATTAAGTAGACCCGACAGTGCAATTGCCACCTGAGCAGCGCGGACAATAAGGTAGGACCACTGCATGTGAATAAAAATTGCACATCGGTATATATCATGAGAGAATTGACTCCATTGTATGATAAATGAGATATAGCGTGGCCGCCGCTAAACGGTCAAAAGTCGCCTTGAGAAATGAGAGAGAAGAATCTAGTGCATAGGCGGTCAAATACAGTTTAACAGGTGTCAAAGGCCCCCGTACGGTGGCACGGACAAATCATTGAGGACAATGAACGCCTGCGTGAGTGCCATTCACACCAATGCGTAGTGACGGGAGGCACTACGAGTACCAGTAATATTACAAGGAAATCTGACCGTTAAATAAGATGTGTATGTTTCAGACCCGGAGATTCTAAAATCCAATAGCGTTATGGTAGCAGGTATACATCCAGTAGGAGATCAGCACAGCATAACCGCATTCTCAACAAGCACAAGGTAGCTTAGAAAAATCAGTCCGTGAGAAGGGGAACATGCGGGAGGATTAAGCGTTGATACATGTTGTTTTATATAACCGCTCAGTGGGGTCAACCAACTATCGAGTTTTCGGAACGGACTCTTGAGCTTGAGCCCTTGCTTTGGCAGTCATTGAGCGAGTTTGTATTTTGAAACGAGACTCAGTAGGGAGTTGCTCCAAATAATCCTGCCCTAGGGGATAGGAAACCAATGGTTTCGGTGGCTGTGCGGGGGCTGCCGCCGGCCCACTCTTTGTTTCTGGCTGTCCTTCCGGACCTACAGATGACGCTGCAGCCTTGGCGGACACTGCAAGGTCTTGGCGCGGAAAAGGGCCAATAAGGATCTCCTGGCGCTCTCCATTGATAATAGAGTTTCCGAGAGCACCAAAGCCCGCGAAGAAGTGTTGCGGTATTTCACCTGCTGCCGCACGACTAGGTAGATGCGACAAATCGGCCTCAATGTTGATATAACGCTTCAAGAGGTCGTCCCTAAGCAAATCGACCACCACACCAAAACTACGGAGGTCCGGGCATAAGGTTTCGATGGCATATTGGAAGTCGGTGTTACCAGCACTCAGTGCGGATTGTCGAGCATTCAATCCATAGAAAACGCCTGCAGCCCACGTTCGCTGTCTCCGATAGTCGTGGGATGGAGGGCTCTTCTCGTTGACCATGACTACTTGCTTGTTGAATAAAACGTAAACAGAGATCCACCACAGCGATTCAAAATCGTGCATGGGATTGTAACGAAATACGACTTTCGGTTTGAGACTCTCTTGACATAGGCTTTGCAAGTTCCCATTCTCTGCTTGCATCCTTGCAGCGAACTCCACCCAAGAAATACCACGAGGGGTGAAGAAGTATTGTTGTCGATCCACTTCAACGGAAATGAAGTCAGCAGTACCCTGATGCGTCAAAACATAGTCTTAGAGCCATCCTGAATCGTTCACTATAAGACGACTCACTGTCCGAATCTCATGAGCGTCAGCCTGCTCATCTAACCGCTTCGCATACTCAAAGTCGGCCAGTTTCACCTTACCGTTAAAGATGAGTATGTTGCCAGTGCTGAGATCGCGGTGTACCCAGCCAGCCTCGTGAAGAAATTGTAACACTGCCAAATAGTCGAATCCTGTCAGTAACAAAAATCACAGCCCAACTGACTGGCCATACCTAGTGCCGTCTGGGAGAGATAGCTGAATATCGGAATCAACGATGTCTCCTGATGGAGAACATCGCAGACCTCCTCGAAGACAATACGATAATGAGCCTTTGGATGATACTGATAATATCGATGATGCTTGTCTTGAGGCGGTGGCTCATCACCGTAATGATGACCCGCATCACCCTTCGGTGCAGTATTTGACCTACTTGACCTATACTTCGCACCCGAGCTGTGCTTCTTCCCCCGACCTGAATGGGTACCTCCACGACGTTTGCTCCGGCCCGTACCGGCAGTACCTTCCCGCGTTCGATTGTCTGAGGGCGTTCGCAGCGGAAATTCGCCAGAATCAAGTGAGATATCTTTCCCGTTCGTCATCACCTCCCGTGTATGGTCACGCATACCGCCTTTCACTTGAACATCACCATGGCATATTACTGTCAACAGGTGCTCATCGAGCACCTTGCGGCCCTCTTCGCTAGCGGCACTCTCTCGAATCATCTCCATGATTGCGCCCTCTCGAAATCGATCGGCGTCGACCCAGCAGTCCTTCAGAATCACAGTGGCTCCATATTCCCGTCCATTACTGCTGACTCGTCTCGCCTCCCACACCCGCGTGCCCCGTCCTTGCAACGCAGCTGTACCAATAAAGGAGATTAGACGTTTGGTGCGGAAAACGACTGGTTTTCCGTCTTCCGCATGAACTGTGATGTCGAATCGAGGTTTGTCGCC